CACACACACACACACACACACACACACACACACACCACGTCTTCACAGAAACACAAACCATCAAGCCACATCCTGCAGACAAGGGACTATTGCTGGAGCCATTAAGGAGGAGGAATTGTTTCCTCCAGAGTCATTGACACATGATAGCAGCCCATATTGTCACAGGCCTTGGATAAATGGCACACTTGGGCTCCTGGCACCACAGCTTCTCTTAATGGGACACAACATTTATATGTAATAATGGTAATTCAGGAGCAAGGGGCTGTGATGCTCAGAAAAGAGTTTCTGTGATTCTTCCACAAGGGTACAACCCCGGGAAGAGCCTCCCGGAATGGGGACGCAAAAGGGCCAGGGACTTGCTAAGCCTTTGGGCTGAGACCGGGACCTGAGCCCTTCAGGCAGGGCCTCACCAGGACATTTCCCTCATGCTCACGGAGCCAGCGGCTTAGGCTTTAGCCAGCCTGCTCAAACACACAGCCGGTTGGCCATCTTCCTCCCCTCTCGACTGTCTCCCACAGGGGACGTGAAAGAGAGAACTGGACTCTCAGACCACCTTTCCGTGTAACAAAGGATGATGAGACAGACAGAATTGACGGGAAGATTGCTCTGCTATTTTGGGCCTCATAAAACAAAACACAACATGAAAAACCGTAACCCARCATCTTCAATGATGTCTTGCTTATGTTCCCATACGCTGATACCTGAAATATATATCAAGATTTGGGTTAAAAGGGGCCAGTGGTGGAGAACGGGAGGCCCTTGGGGACAAGCGGTGCTTGGCAGCTCCATTCAGGTGGCGTGCTGAAAACGTATTTGATCTGAACCTCAGCAACCTCGCCTCCGCTGTTGTACAATCTAGGACATGAATGCGTTCGCACTTGGACTTGAATTGCAAATTTGATTTTTGTTGTTCATATTTAAAAAGCTCCACCAGATGCTTGGAAAACATTAGGGTTTTGCCAGCCAGGGAATGGAAATATTATCATTCTACCTATTTGTATTTCAAAGATCCAGGAAGCATTCTATCTCAGCTGCCGTTGTGACTAGGCGCATCCCTGAATTTTTAAAATGGTAAAACCAAGGCTTCCTAGGTACCTTTCTACATTATTTCATTCAACGTCATCCTCACAGTCACTCTATGAGCTAGGTATTATTAACCCATTTTGCAGAGAAGGAAATCAAGGCTTATGTGTTATGAGTTTACCAAAATTCATTCATTTARCAGGTATTTATTGAGCGTCCACTATGAACTCCTRGGGACCCCAAAGTGAATAAAACAGAAAACTCACTTCCCTCATGTAAATTCCTTTCTAATGGAGGGTATCATAGCCATCGATCATTAAGGAGTGGCSTGACATTCATGTACATTGACTCTCATGTAGGGATCTTGGTAGTGACATTGATGTGTGTTGACTATCGAGTCAGGGTCTTGGTTTTGAGCCTGGAGTTCTGACTCCAGAGCCTTGCTCCCGATCTGTGACACTACCCTCCTGCTGCACCCACTCTGCTAATGAGAGGTACAACTTGGGCTTCCAGCCAGACGTGTCTCCRTGGTGTGCCACCACCATCTTACAGGGGAACACATGGAGCGTCTTTGTTTCTCTGTCCTGTCCCACCCATTACCTAACCTAGAACCGAATCACAGACCTTTGCTTTCTGAGTTCATTTTAAGACAAGTGTTTATTTTCTGTGGTCTCACATCACTTCAAGAGGTGCCCCGAGCCTTGTTTCCCTCAAGTCCTGAAGCTATGATATTTGAACTTGCCGCTGGAGCCTTGCATTCAAGTGTCTGCGGTCTCTATGATCAGAACCATGGCTTTTTGGTTTTATTCCATAAATTACATCATTTTCGAGCAGTGTCTACCTGATATGATGGATTGAACCAGTATTTTCTTTGAAGTCAAATTCCCATTGTGTCCCAGTTAGGACCTTGGCTTCAGAGTTCGGGAGCATCTATCTAGTGACTGCAGACAGCGTCTGGTGTTGTGGTTAAAAAGATAAGATTCAGGAACAAGGGTTACACTGGACTTTGACTTAAGAACCCCTCCTCCATTCCTTCTTCTTACAATGGAATTCTCTGCTTGTTTGAAAGTGCACAGCCGTGAGTGACAGTTCTGGAAACTGACCATATCACCATGAGATTGGTTTTCTTATACGTGGGGCTCCTCCAGAGCCTTGGCAGCTCCATGTGTGGGTTCAGCAGGGTGGGGACAGGGGAACCCTGCTCCTCTGCCACAGCTTCTCTAACACAGCAGCTTTGCCAAGAGTAGCAGCCCCCAGGTGGAAGAGCTGCTCCACCATCCCCCTCCCACCCTGCATCCTGCTCCCTTCCCCCTTTGCCTGTGCAAAGCCACTGCAACCTCGGCTCCCTCAGTCACCAGCCCATACCCAGTCTATGCCAAGCCTTTAGACCAGAACCACAAAAGCAGCACACAGGTGGATTCGGGTTAAAATTTATAAACCTATAGAATTAGAAAGACCTCTCTTAACAAGACTTCTTCAATGGGCCCAGTTAAGTGGATGTCACACCCTCTGGAGTGAGAGATCCAGCACTCCTGTTACCAGGAATGTCGAGTCTCAGAAGCCGGCATTCCTTACCGTCAATGGTGCTGCCTCTTGCTCTGAGTCAAGCTTGCTTCTTTTAGGACAATAGGTTTATTTGTTGAATTCGCGATTATTTATTAACCACTGCTAAGAAGCTGAGCACTGGGTGCAGCACTGTGGATATAGCGAAAGCAAGTTAGCCACAGTCCGCTAAACAGGCACGTCAGTCAGTAAGTCATCGGCTCAAGGTATGATAAGAGCTCTGATGGGGAAGTTCAGATTGCCTCGAAGAACTCACTCCCCTACGTCCATCCCAGTGTGCGTGGGTCAGGGAAGGCTCCCGAGCTGTTCGGGTGGGGAAGGCATGTAAGATAAGACTTGGTAAGGCTAACTGTGATCTCACCTGAAAAATAAGCAACTATTAACCAGGGAAAGGGTGTGGGGAGGAGGAGTGTGTCCCAAGAGGTGAAGAAGCACACGCAGTGCCCTGGAGGCAGAAGGAAGCCTGCCCGCTGAAGTAACAGGAGGAGTTGCAGAAGAGTTGACTGGAAGTGGAACAACAGGTGAGGGGTGGGGGATGGAGACGCTGAGCAGAGAAGCAAAAGGTGAACTGGAAGGACCCGCAGCAGCCAGGTGGTTTGATTGGGAGTCGGTGTCGATTTTAATCCATACACAAAGCATTAAATCATGGCAGGGTTATAAACAGGAAGGACAATTTTTTTTTAAGAGCGTAGAGATTCATTGGAAGAGAACAAAACAGAGAATCAAAGGACTGATGAGAGAGTGAGTGGGTGAGTGAAGACAGGGCAAAGAGGCCAGCAGGAGACGAGGGTCCCTGGCTAGGGGAGTGGCAGGGCAGATTGACGGAAGGGGGCTTGTTAGAGGGGCTGGTGATGAGGGAGGCTTCAGAAAGATGCRTCAATTTCTATCTTGGGTAACCGAGTAGATACTGAGGTGGGGAACATTGGCGAGGATCATATTTGGGTAACAAACGATAATCAGCTCAATGTTGAGTTGTAACTGCCTGTGAAATATCCAGGGGGAGAGCCTGGGAGTTAATGGAGCTCAGCGGGGAAGATGGCGCTGGGTACACTATTTGGGATCATAAGCCTGGAGAGGAGAGTCAAAGCTGTTGTAATTTGTGAAATTATCTACAGAAGCATGTAGAATGGCCAGGAGGAAAAACCAAGAAGCCTAAGACAAAATGTTAAAGAGTCCCATCATTTAGACAAATAAGAAGACACGAGATTGAGAAAGAGCAGGTGGAGAGAAGGAAGGAAATCCACATGAGGGAGAGATCACGGAAGCCAAGTCGAACAGGCTTTGAGAAGAGAGTAGATCACTGGATCAACATGGTATTGGGAGTGAGTTGTAAAATAGGAACCGAAAGGAAGTTTGTGGTTATGTTCAGTATTCATCTTCTATTGTCTGGTACTCGATAAACGGGTTAAATTCCATATCCTCAGTGGGATTTTTAGTGTTCTTCAAAATGTTAATTTAATTCCTTGATGTTCTCAAGGTGTGGCAAGAACGTTAAGATGGGTATTAACATCTTTCTCAAGTATGATGTGTTTAGGTCCAAGTCTCGTTTCTAGCATTCATTTGGAAAAGGATAACAGATGATTCTCCCTTAAGATCTTTTCTTTTGCTCCCTACCTTCCAGTCTTCAGTTGGCTTTCTCTTAGGTGTCCAAACTCTGCTTTTCAGCAAAACCTTTCCCCATAGAATTCGAATTTCAGTGTTTGTTGCCTGATTTAAAGGGAGAAGCATCATTTCTTTCTTACRTATCCTAAAGCATTTAAAATTAGTTCACAACCATGCACATAACGATGCTTAAAAGAGGAAAATGTGGTTGGAGATGGAGTCAACCTCTCTTCTGTCTCTTTTCCAGCTACAAGAGACTGTGAAAAGGAAGTTGGAAGGAGCCCGATCCCCACTTAACGGAGACCAACAGAATGGAGCTTGCGATGGGAGTTTTTCTCCGACCAGCAAGCGGATCCGAAAGGACATGCCCACAGGGATGGAAGCCATCAACAGTTTGCCCAACAACATGCCCCTGCCTTCAGCTTCCCCTCTTCACCAACTTGACCTGAAGMCTTCTCTGCCCTTGCAGAACAGCGGGACTCACACTCCTGGGCTTCTGGAGGATCTTAATAAGAACGGCAGGCTCCCCGACATCAAACTCCCTGTCAACGGCTGTAGTGACCTGGAGGACAGCTTTGCCATCTTGCAGAGCAAGGACCTCAAACAGGAACCTCTCGATGACCCTACTTGCATAGACACATCAGAAACATCTCTTTCTAATCAGAACAAGCTGTTCTCAGACATTAACCTGAATGACCAGGAGTGGCAGGAGTTAATAGATGAGTTGGCCAACACGGTTCCGGAAGATGACATCCAGGACTTGTTCAACGAGGACTTCGAAGAGAAGAAGGAGCCGGAATTCTCACAGGCAGCCGCGGAGACGCCTCTGTCCCAGGAGAGCACCAGTGTGAAGAGTGATCCCTCTCACTCTCCTTTTGCACACGTCTCCATGGGCTCTCCCCAAGCCCGGCCTTCGTCTTCGGGTCCTCCCTTTTCCTCCGTCTCCACCGCCACGAGCTTACCTTCTGTTGCCAGCACTCCCGCAGCTCCGAACCCTGCCAGCTCACCGGCCAACTGCGCTGTCCCATCCCCTCAAACGCCAAACCAAGCCCATACCCCAGGCCAAGGTCCACCGCGGCCCGGCAACGGTTATCTCCTGAATCCAGCCGCAGTGACAGTGGCCGGTTCAGGGACAGGCCCGGTGGCTGTGCCCAGCTCTGACATGTCTCCTGCAGAGCAGCTCAAACAGATGGCTGCCCAGCAGCAGCAAAGGGCCAAACTCATGCAACAGAAGCAGCAGCAACAGCAGCAGCAGCAGCAGCAGCAACACTCAAATCAGACTTCAAGCTGGTCTCCCCTGGGGCCTCCGTCTAGTCCATACGGAGCAGCTTTTCCTGCAGAAAAACCAAATAGCCCAATGATGTACCCCCAAGCCTTTAACAACCAAAACCCTATAGTGCCTCCCATGGCAAACAACCTGCAGAAGACCACGATGAATAACTACCTCCCTCAGAACCACATAAATATAATCAATCATCAGCCAAATAACTTGGGTACAAACTCCTTAAACAAACAGCACAACATTCTAACTTACGGCAACACTAAACCTCTGACCCATTTTAMCGCAGACTTGAGTCAGAGAATGACACCACCAATGGCCAACCCCAACAAGAACCCCTTGATGCCGTATATCCAGCCGCAGCAGCAGCCCCCGCAGCAGCCCCCACAGCAGCAGCCTCCGCCCCCACCCCAGCTCCAGGCTCCCAGGGCGCACCTGAGCGAGGAGCAGAAGCGCATGCTTCTCATGAAGCAGAAAGGAGTGATGAATCAGCCCATGGCTTACGCCGCGCTTCCATCCCACGGTCAGGTAAGTGTGAAAGTGAGACACGCTTGGAGCACTGCTCCCCGTGCATTTCAAGCTGTCAAGTGTGATGCTCTCCGAGCTTCTGCCTGAGCAGGGTCTAATTACCCGCCGAAATTCTCCCTCCACGTTCTCCTGGAGTTGCAGCTCTTAGGTGTGTTTCCCCTTTCTTCTAAGAGATGGAAAAAGGGTGACCCCATCAACTTTCTTGTATTTGAATGCCTAGGACTCGAATTTCCTGCTCCTGCCTGCAGATTAAGAACCAAACATTACAAAATTCTCGCTCTGGGGAAGGCAGGCTGCAGACCCATGGCCAAACATTTTGCTACTTCATTAACTTTCCTACCAGATGGTTCAATCCCAGACTCAGGTGACAGGAAGGCCAGGATGCTTAAGGCTACCTATAACCATTTTCTAAGGCCTGAGCAACCTTCAGCTACCTGATTGAATTATGAATAATGGGAAATTTGGATTCTCCGTGTTCAAATGTGGGAGAGATTTCTGTATTTTCAAAATGAGCCCGAGGGTAGATTTTGTAGGACCAGTCAGCACTGAAACATTTGCTGCTAGGGTATCAACAGTTAGAAGCAGTTTCAGTCTTGTTGCTTGAGATTACAATGACCTCTGTCCAACTCATTCAGCTCTATTTTGGGAAAATTGGATGATGAATGTACCTTGGTGCTATATTAAAAACAAAGTCTCCTTTTTCCTACTGTCTTCCTATTTTGGTGTGTGGGAGGGTAGGGTCGTTCATGCAGCCACYGTTGGGTAGCAAATACTCACCAACAAGCACTTACTGATGTTCCACATGACCAGTAACCAGCAGCCACAGCTTCTTTAGTTTATTTATTTTTTGCGGTCCTGGGGSATGGAACCCAGGACTTGTGCCTGCTAGGCAAGTGTTCTACCACGGAGTGACATCCAAGCCAGCTCTAGTTCAACACTGTATCTTCCATGAAGGAAAGAAGAAGTAGGGAAATGCCCTTTATCTCTACCTTCCCCCATCATAGATGAATTCATGGGGATCACTTAACTACCAGTTGCTACTCTATGCTCCATCCCTTTTTAGTACTGTAGTTGGAGATTTTGCAGAATTCTGTTTTAGAGGCCCTCATGTTTAAACTGATGATAGGATATGCATCCACAATGGGGTGCATTGGGCGCCCAGGGAAGGAACCCAGGCAGATCTTGTCTTGTTTCTTGGTTGTTTGCATCTTGTATCTCCTGGAGTACCCCACCCTATCTCTACCCCCACCCCCACCCAATCCATGGCAGCTACAGGGCTGGGGGGGTGGCCTTGGCCTGCAGAGACAAGCCTGAGCTCTGTGGCTTCGTTCTTGTCCTTCACAGCCTTCCAACCCTAAAACCTCACAGTGGCTTCTTGTCTGCACATGCCAGCAGCCCTCAAGAAATTCTGTCTGGATAAATAAAAGTATAGCTTAGTTTACATCAACTGAAATAGGTAGCTGGTATAAAAATATCATTGAAATGTGAAATTTGTATGTTTTATCTTGGTTTCATCTTAAAATATATTCATATATATATGTCTATGTATTTACATATATATATACTATTAGAAAATGCAACATTTTATGTACTTTTTAAAAGATTAAGTTCTGAAGCAGGCAAAAACAGAGGCAATACGTAGGGGTGTTTGTGGTAACACAGAGGCATCACAAGATTTCTGAGAGTGAAAGCTGTCACAATGAATTGTTGTTAACCTTAATACAAATTGTGCCTTTATATTCACTGTTTTTACACCAGTATTTTCTCCAACCCAGATCAAAGATGATTAGTTTCGACTCACAGATTCTTCAGACACATAGGTGCAATATGTACCCACCCATAACCCCCACCCTCACTAAACTGCTTTTGAAATGTGCTCACTTGGGATAAAGTTCCCGTCTTTGCTGGAACATGAATTTTCAAGGTGCTCATTTTGGTCCTTAATGCTTGCCTGTGAGTCACTGAAGCCATGAGCTGCAGAGGTCATGTTTTGAAAGGGCTTAGCCAGGTGAAGGAGCAAATGTGAGGCTTTCTGGATTCAATCTGTGGGCCTCTGCTCCTCTCTCCTCATCACAAGGTGCTCTGAGGGTGGACAGAACCTTCCCAGGCAAACCCTCATTAGAATAATCACTTCTTAATCTCACAAAGTACTGACAGGTAAAAGCATGCTTTTTAATGAAATATTAACTCATCACTGCTTGAAAGACGCTTCAAAACACAGACATGTGGATTTCTTTCTGCAAACCTCGTTTATTTCATGTTTTTATCTGATTGCAGAGCAATATTTACATAGCTCACAGAATAGTCAGCTCTACTATCTGGGGGGGCATTGCACAAATACTAGCATGAATTACAGGCAGGACGTACAATATAGTTTGATTTTGTTTTCAGTTGTTGCTAGAAAAAATTCATCTCATTTTTTCTTGGCCGCAAGGACCATGATCAACACTTAGTTCTAACAAATGGCTTAAGCACCAGAGGAGAATAGTAGCCACATTTGTTTCAAGAAAGTTGTATAGATGATTGCTTATTTGGAACACTTGTATGAAAGTCCATTACTTTCAGAAATGAACAGAAACACCATCACTTCCTGGATATTCAAAAAGGAGAGAACCAAAGATAGAAGAAAAAAAAAAAAGACTTTCACAACTTTGGATGTGATTTATCTAGTAATTCCACTTCTCAATATTTACATATTCCTTATAATCAAAGGATTAACAAATATTATGCCCATGGTATACTTGTGACAGTGAAAATTTGGAATCAATATAAATATTTTGGAAAAAATACTGTACATGAAAATCATGATACTAATGAACGATTAATCACACAGATGTGCTCCTAATATGAGTAAGATAAGCAGATCATGAAATAGTTTATGTTATAATCGAGACTGTGTTGTCTAATACACATAGAAAAAGGGTGTTCAAAGTGTTAGAAATGGTATTTCTGGTTGGTAAGGTTGAGTGATTATGGCTTTGAATTTCATGTTTTAATAAGTTTTCTATATTTCTATCATACATATTTCTAAATTCCTAATATACATAGGTGTTAATTCTACCATCAGAAAAAAAAAACTAAGGAAGGAGAAGTCCCTATTAAAAAAAAAAGTTCACACTTTGCAAATTCTTTTTTTAAAAGAACATTTTTGAATTGATTTGCCAGTTGGATCGGGGCAATGCCATTATATCCTGTTAATTTACATACATTAGCTGTGAGTCCCTGCGTTAGTAGGTGGTTCTAAAACCTTCCTCCCACCCTCACTCTCTTTTCCATTATCTCTGCCCACCTTCTTTCCTCCTTAGCATTTTTTCCTAATTCCTGTAAAACTTAAGCTAAATGATTGACAAGTAAAATACAAATAAAATTTCAACCATTGGAAATACGCAKATTCTTAGATTAGTTCTTTGATCATTTCTCCCTTCCCTTCACTCTTATTTTTTGTTCATTTGTTAATTTCTTCTGCATCTATTCATCATGGATTGACCCTCCTGGATCGCTCTCTAATTTTTCAAATATGTTTTTCTATAACAAAATACACAGAACTTACTTTGGCCTTATCCATCTATTAATCTTTTCCTAATGTTGCTATTTCTCAAGGGTAGGATTGCACTCTCGTGCATGCCTGCGTGTGTGTGTGTGTGTGTGTGTGTGTGTGTGTGTGGTGTGTGTGTGCGCGTGCCCGAGTGCGCGTGCTCTCTCTCTCTCTCTCTCTCTCTCTCTCTCTCTCTCTCTCTCTCTAGCACATTTTTGCATAGGGCCTAACTATCTTAAACATAAGGATGTTTAATAAACCATTTGGTGGCAATTCTCAAAATTTGGGCTAAAAATGCATTTTCAGTTGATTATCAGCTCCAGTGAGGAAAGCAGTAGCACAAATGACAGAAGCCTACTTTTGAGATCAAACAGAAGAACTGGAAAAGCAAGTCAAAGAGAATCCTTTGCAAGGAGGTGGCTATCTCCAGCAGTGGAGCAGCCATGAGGTTGCTGGGAAGCAAACACAGTCCCTGTTTCTAACAAACAAAAACAATGGCAAAAAACGATTAAAGAAGAAAACTGAAGGCACGTGACTGCCTGCTGGTCAAGGAGGGCCACAGGCTACCCAGGGCCCAAGAATAATCCCTATGTTGACAGGCAGAAGGTGAATCATTTTGAAAATGAACTTGCAATCAGAAAACTAGATAAGTCATTGACTACTCTGCTACTTTGTTCTTTGTGTGTGTGGCTTCTTTGTGAGGCTTTGTGTTTGCCCTTTTTGGTTATTTTACCAAAATTTGTAGGGTACCCTGTAAAGTATATCATTGTAAGCTTTTTAGCTATAGAATCTGCATAGAAAGAATAGACCTTTAATATTCACAGCTGTTTTTGAAATTTCTTTTGAGTACACATATTTTCTAACTTTAAAAATCTACAGCTCCTCTGTTCAGTTTCCTTAAATACATACTGCTTACTTTATCCAAATAATGCACATACTCAAATCAGAAAGCCAAACAGCCTTTGCAAAGCTTGTGATGAGTGATGGTGGTCCCCTGCTCCACCTGCCCTGTTCTTAAACTCTGCTTTCCAACGGCAGCCACTTCAGTTCATTGTTTCCTTATTTATCTCTATAAACTGCTATTCCTCAATTTTTCAATTATTTGATTCTATAGAAGATAAGGATTTTGCTCAGTTACACTGCATCCTCATAAATATGCCCAGCCTTCCACACTCTCTCTTTCTCTTCCATACTCTCGATATAGCTAACTCTATCACAGATTATGACTTTAAAAGTATTCCATGCTGGGGCTGGGGGTGTAGCTCAGCGGTAGGTAGAGTGCTTTCCTAGCACAAGTGAGGCACTGGGTCGATCCTCAGCACCATATAAAAATAAAATAAAATAAAGGTATTATGTCCATCTATAATGAAAAGAAAGTTTTTAAAAGAAAAGTATTTCATGCTTACATGGCTAATTTTTGCATGGTGCCTCACCCTTTAGCCATTTCATATTATGATTCCAATTC